TACGAGTGGACTATACTACTTCCTACAAGATAATATCCAGTGGGAACATACAAGCACCTGGAATTCAATTGCTTATTGTCCTTCTCCCAAACTCTGGGTATCAGCAAGCATGATTGTTCAGAGGCACTTTTGAACCCTAAACCTTAAATGTGAGGACGCAATCCGGTATCAGGTCCAAAGGGCAACATAATCAACAAAATCTGCAGCTTCCAGACAACACAAGATATAGGGGATGATATGGGGAACTACTATAGGAGCGATTAAGGAGGATACTTGGAGTTTACAGTATTATAGAGCCGCTGCTTCGCCGATTTCATGTCATGTGCTATCTGTCTTTGCCAAAGAATTGCTGATTTTGCACATGCCCATCTGCCCTGCATGGAAGCAGAGAGTCCCGCTCTACCTTCTCTCCGCATTTAAATATGTTCCATAAACAATGGAAGCAGAATGTAGATCCTCATAATCTTGATTATGGGGATCCCAGAAAGGGACTTCTGATATCCAGAAAACCCCTATCAAAATCGAAATCCAAAACTGTGAACTCTAAACTCTAAAACTCTAAACCCTACCCTAAGCCCTCAACCCTCAACCCTAAACCCCAAACCCTAAACCCCTAATCAAACCCTAAACCCTCCCGCCCCCCCATATCCCAGCACTCCAGCAGCGCCTGTTTCCACGCTTCCATCCATCCTGCACCAGCACAGGTTTATATGGAGGTTATATAAGCAACATTGGGGTAATATTTGGGTTATATTAGGTTATATTGGAGTTATACAGGGATGATGGAAAGAAAATGGAAACTACTATTATGGGGTTATATAGGGTCTAGGGTGTCGGGTTTAGGGTTTAGGGTTGGGGGGAGAATAAAGCTGAGTGTGAACATTGGTCTGACAATATGGTTGACCCTAAGTTTGCCCAACTTCAGCACTGCCTAAGGGTAGAGTCCGCAGACGTTCTTCAGCGTTTGCGGGCTATAAGTATGGGCCCCAACGACATGTTGCAGGAGCATCAGCTGGAGATGGTTGCGGACCTTTTTTTGTTGCCACAAAACTGCACACAACTGGCGTTTGGGTTGGGTCGCACAGGTGGGTTGACGCACAGCAGGCTGTGCCGGAGTGCAAGCGCACACGGCAAGCCATGCCGGATCGCAACACCCTCAGGTCCCTACAGATCCACGCACATGATGACATGTGCTTTCAAAAACCCAATGTCTAGAAGCCTAATATACTGCTATCCTTAGCACAGGGACTCCCGAACAATCAAGGGACCCCCAGTTATTGGAAACCACCATATCGGTCTGATAACTGGGGTGCAAATCTACTGTCAAAGTTTCGCGATCTAAGAATCTGGGACTAGGTTTTGTTTCTGAAGATGCCAAGCCAGCACAGAAAAGCTGCTGCAAGCCAACAGCGGGCCAGGACGAAAGATCCTCTGGGCCTAGGGTAAAGGGGGTTTGGGGCTTTAGGTCAGTGAACAGGCAAAGGCTGGACAAGAGGTATCTAGGCGTGCAAACTCCAAACTCCAAAATCATGAGCTATAAATATAGATGCTCCAACGCCAGATTTTTTGCGAAGACCTCACAACAAAAAACAAGAGACGCGTCACCCTGAATGAAATGCCACAAGTACTTAACCCCGCAGCTGACGGAGACCCTAGGCCGGGAATTTCTGCTCGCATCCATACACATAGATAGAACATACGCCACCCATATAGATATTAGGTAGAATATATACATGTCTATATTGTATAGAGTCACCAAACCCCAATGCGGAGAACTCCCCCTTCAGCTCTACTGCAGAGGCCTCGACAAAGCCCAACATCATGCAGAGGTCTATTTCGGAGTCTAGGACGAAGATATTTATAAACCCTAGAGCCTAAACCCAAAAACCTAAGCCCCAAACCCCTAAACTCTAAAACCCTACACCCTAAAACCCTAAACCCCTACACCCTGAAACCCTAAACCCCAGGATCCTACATTACCTAGGCTTGGGTCCTCCAGGAGTAACACCCTGAGCCGCTCGATCGCCTCGATGAACTCAGGGGTGAGGCCCTGCGGGCGGGCTCAGGGAATAGGATTTGGGGTTTAGGGTTTAGGTTTAAGGGTTCAGGATTTAGGGAATAGGACCTAGGGTTTAGGCCTTACGATTTAGGGTTTAGGACTTACGATTTAGGGTTTAGGACTTAGGGTTTAGGGTTTTAGAATTTTCGGTCTTGCGGGTTAAGGAAGGGCTCTTGCTTGAGCGCTCCGTGTACTCCTGCTGTCTGGCGTAGAAGCTCTTTTAGGGTTCAGGATTCAGGGTTTAGGGTTTAGAGCAGATTTGGGCGTAGCATTTACGGATTGTCTCTCGATCTTCAATTTAAGCTGCCAGCCAGCGCAAAGGCTTAGGGTGTGAGGCTTGGGATCTGCGTAAGGAAGTTGGAAGTTTCAGGGTTTAGATTTTTCAAGGCGCTGGGACAAGGACAGACACTTGGGGATCAAGCCTCACGGGCTTCCGGGGTCTGGGATTTGGGATGGAGTACACGGTGGTGAAGAACCAGATAAGCCCTAAACCCTAAACCCTAAACCCTAGACCCTAAACCCAAGACCGAAGTGCCATGGGAATCCCACGCCTAAACCTTAAACTACTCCCTCCCCCTGTTCTGAAAGCTCAAGGTACTTCCACCCTAAACGCGTCCTAAACCCCTACATCCTGAACCCAAGTCCTTAGGCCTTAATTCTTAGCCTCATATCCTCAACCCCCTCAACCCCTTAAACCTCAACCCTCCCACTTTCCTCTCCCTTTTCTCTTCAATCCGAAACCTTTAACTTTAACCCTACAGCCTGAGCCCTTGAACCCTAACCCTCAAGCCCGAAACCTTAGGCCCTGAACCCCGAATAGTAGCATCCATGTTGTTTCCCATTCCCCCTACATAACGCCTAAAGAATCCTGATATTATCTTTATGTTCCCTGTAAATTTTACATCTGCCCATCAGTCCATCCATCCGCCGATCTATCCATTCATCCCATTCACCCAAAGTCTCAGAAAACTTATATCTACCACCCTTAAAAAATCTTGTCTTCCCTAAACACTTAGCCCTTAAACCCTAAACCCTTAAACCCTTGGACCCTTAGACCCTGAACCCTTACGTACACCCTTAAACCCTACACCCTTAAACCCTTAACCCCTGAACCTTGAAACCCTTGAAACCTGAACCCTTAACCCCTGAACCGTTAAACCCTTGAAACCTGAACCCTTAACCCCTGAACCGTTAAACCCTTCAAACCTGAACCCTTAAACCCTTACACCCCGCACCCTTAAACCCTTAAACCTCTAAAGCCCTCAACCCTTACACCCTGAACCCTTAAACCCTACTAACCAGAGCCTCCAGGTAGGCGCCCTCCAGGAGTCCTGCTGCCGAGGAGGCCTGGCCCTCGCTCTCCTGACATTGGGTTTCAGGGGGTTAACGGGGGGGCTTAAGTGGGTTTAAGGGGGTTTAAGGGAGTTTGGGGGTTTCGGGTGTGGGGTTTCGGGCTTATAGGGTTTAGGGCTTATAGGGTTTATGGCATAGAGTTTAGGGTTTTGGGTTTGGAGGGTTTAGGGTTTTGGGCTTAAGGTTTGGGATGTAGGGTCTAGAAGTTTAAGGGTTGGGGTTTAGGGTTTAAAGTTGAGGTTGAGGAGTTGGAGTGTAGGGTATAGCGGCTCAGGGCTTCGGGTTGTATAGGGGCTTCGGGCTTCTGCTTGGGGGCTTAAGCATGTAGCGTTTTGGAATTTTGCTCTTATGGGGTCAGCTCTAAACCCCAAACCCTAAACCTTAAACCCCAAACCCAAAATTTAAACCCTAAACCCTAAACTCTAAACCCCAAACCCTAAACTCCCAACCCAGTGGGTTGGGGTTCAGAGCTCGCCCTTTCAAGCCCAGGGCTCAGGGCTTCAGGGCTCTGGGATTAAGATGGATGCGCTGGAATGACAGTACTACTTTAGGAGAACCCCCCAGCCTGTAATAGTGCCATAATAGGAATATGGTAGGGCCCTAATATAATCCTTATTATCCCTTAGACTGGTACAAAAGACGGATCTACCACCCCCCTTGATTCTCGAAATAACTCTAAATAATACGGTAATTTCCATGTTTTTGTCCATTCCAAGGCCCCCAGCACAATAAAACACCAACCTCGGTCCTCCATTCTGGTGTCAATACTCCTATGTCATCTAAAAATCTACACCTAAATCCTAGCCCCTTATTCGTATATATTTCGTGTATATATATATATACATATATCCCTATCTCCTAGTCCCCTACAAGTAGGTTCATCCCGACACACTAAACACTAGCCCCTTATACCTGAATAAATACCCTAAGCCCTAAATCCTCAACTCTAAATCCTAAATCC